TAATAATAATAATAATAATAATAATAATAAAAATGATAATATTAGTATTAATACCAATATTAATATTGACATATATTAATAATGATAAGCAGTTTTGAGCTCTAAATCAACACATAAAACTGTTGAAGTTATCATCCCAAAACTTTAAACTATAAGTTTAGATGTGTTTACGGCAGTTGGACATTAATGCTCAATAAGTTTTAGGTAAAACTGAGCTCAGTTAAATTGAATAAAAAAAAAACATTTTTGTTAATTAAAGTCTATCGTTCTCAGGTGCTACGTCAATCAGATGGAAAGTGTTTTGCTGCAAAGTTGGAACTATGTGATGCACATTTTCATGGGCTAAATGTCGATTATTCGGTGCTCGATCGAGCCAGTAAAAAGAACCTAAAACATTTTACCGAGCTTATAGATTTTGGTAAAATTCAAGGCCATTTTAAATTCATCATCATGACTATGGTAATTCAGTTTACATCCTTCTTCTTCTTCTTCCTCCTCCTACTGAATTACATTGAATCGTCGGTCAAAAAAAAAAAAATAAAAAAATAAAAACAGAAAAAGCAGATTACGTTATATAAAAGTACGAAAAAGATTACAATAATTTTTAGCCCAAATATACTTTATGATATTTAAAGTACAATACTAGCACCGAATATTAGCATATTTCGGTAATCCATCAATTGCTCATCAATTTAAAAACATCAAATACCAAGTGTAAAAGTTCTATTACAACAAACATCCTACCAAACTTCAGTGTACATCATTTTTTTCAAGTTTTTTATAGGCCGAAAAAAAAAGAAAGAATAAAATATGATACATGTTGATTTTTCATAAAAAATAAGAAAAATTGAACAATAAATGTTTTTTGTAGCTCGACAAGAATATCACCCAATTAAGATCGATGTTTGTTGGAAATCGTTTCTCCCTATCTACAGCACTACGGCTCGGCCTACAGACTCTGTCTGCCCTACAAGAACTTCATTCACTTGGTTATGTTCATCGTGACGTCAAAGTACCTTAAGTTTATAAATTTATCCGCTAGTTGCATCACTAAAAGAACTGTTAAAACTGTACCAACCATAACTGTTATGAATGATAAATTAAGCCGCATAAAAACCTAATCAAATCTACTCATAAAAAGAGCCGGCCTTAAAAACTCCATCCTTTTTTTATGTTTTTTCCTTTTCCGGGAAGATAAAAATGATTCCATCTGCGGTATATACTGCTATAAAGTTTGAGGAAATCGTAAACTGATAAAATATTACGAAAGTGCAAGCAACGCCTTCTTTTTAATTCTTCACGAGTTTTTATTTTTCTCTCACCCCGTATTGCAAAATCGTTATTGCACCAAAAAGTAACTGTCACTTTAGAGAACAAAAAACAGGTCAAGAAGTTTAAAAAATAAGATAAGAACAGGGATAAATCTTCAAAACAAAAACTGCCCTATCAAAAAATCCTGCTTTTACCAGTCGACCAGTCATCAGTTATTACCCCAACTAGCCTAGCTGTTGGCGATGGCTATTAAAATAGCTAAGGAATCACGAACAATGCTTGGAAGAAAACTTTTTGCTTTTCCTAACTAAAATGGATACCCAACGAAAAAAAATTTAACGATTCGAAGAGATCCAACTCAAATATTCCCCTACGAAAATTAACACAAGCTGCATTAATAAGCTTTTTAAAAACTTCTTCTCTTAGGGGACAAACTTTGTTGTCAGTCATGAACCACATCCGAATTTGACTGTGTACATTATTGACTTTGGTTTGTGCAGATCATATCGTAATGCAGACAATGAGATTAAACCTCCTCGACAAACTGCTCGTTTCAGGTACTTAAATGTATAAGCTTTGAGTCAACTAAAAGCATGATCATCAGTAATATTGACAAAATTTAGCAAACTGATAGTCTTCTTTCCTCAACTAATAACCTAAATTACTCGATACAATACTTAAATAAACAGGCGTATTGAATCAAGAATACTATTCCGCTGATATTAACCAAATAAGAAATACCGACAGCTAAAATAACTTTCTTTTTTCTAACATCTGCTTTATAGATCCCAAGTACTGTTTGCTTCCAGGGGTACAACTCGATATGCGTCATTGGCAGCCCACAATGAGAAGGAGCAAGCCCCACGAGACGACCTCGAATCTTGGTTTTACATGTTAATTGAAATGATCTCAGGTGACAGCAATCTTCCGTTTTCCTCGCTTTTCAAGTCTAATAATATCCAATGAGTTTTTGATTCATATTCTTCCATTACTGTATTGACACTAACGTGACAAATCGATTACAATACCGCAGCAGAAGCGCAACTTAGAGAGGAAAAAATGGTTCATTAAAATCACTTTTTACAAATCAAAAACGTTTATTCTGATGTACAAATTAATGGTAGCTTTAATATATGTTCGTGTTGCAGACATAATTCTCCTAGCTTCCTACGTCATTATTCTGTTCATTTCATGAGCAGTATCAACTCCACATGAAAAAGGTCGCAGGTTTTAAGATTTTGGTAAATAATGACACAAAAGTCTTAAAGAAGAACCCAAATATGTGTCATAACAAGACTTCAAAATTTGCTCCATTACATCTCGCAATACCCGATCTGAATTTCCCTCAACAAGAGAAAGTTCTTATAGGGTCTCACTCTGAAACAAAATTTTTTATGCTTCTAGTTGTGCCTTTAAGAAACCAATCCACTAGAAGTAAAGAATGTGTTCAATAGCACCAACAACTTTCAATACAAGTCCCTCTCTGCTTCCCTCAAAAGTTTGTATTTAATCCGACCTAATAAAAACAATTTTGTTGCAATATAATTAACACTTCAAAATCTGTAATTGCTTTAATGACCACTGAAAGCAAAGCAATTTGTTTTCTATAACCAATGTGCTGTAGAATGCAGAATCTACCAGAACAATGTGCTGTAACAATGGAATTCTACAAGTTGAATCTTCCTTACACACCAAAGGAATGAGAATTTTTCAAATCTCTTTACACTCAAAGAAACAATTTCTACTGCAAATCTACCTTGAAAAACCAATGAATAATAAACCATTAGCTTTACTAGCAATCAAGAAATAAAGTTCCAAGTAATACCTTCAACCCCTTTAGAATAACCTTCTAAAAAATAATTTGAGCTAATCATCTGAGAGTACACTGCATCACTAACCAATTCTTTCGGATGTGTCTTAATGTAGTTCATATACGAATTTAGAAGCCAGAATAGCATAACTTTTACCCTTTGTTAACAAGCTGCATAGTTGAATAATCAAAATAAACACTAACAGCGTCTAAAATGAAAAAGGTGAAATTTTTAAAGCTGTATCCTAGAAAAAGAACAGTGTATTTATTCCCCTGTCGAAAAACCAGAACACTGCAAAACGGTTTTTATTGACAAAAAACGATTTCTCCACTTATTCTTTCGGTATTCACCGCGCTAATTTACTTATTAGCTATGTTCTCCATTTCAAACATAAATGCCTATAGAATTACTAAAAATTCTACAGTTTATGGTACTGGTGTGATGAAACTGTACAGCTATACAGTTATTCCCCCAATATTTATTTAAATTGATAATACTGTATTTTGATATCTGTAAAAAACGAAACGTCTTCTCTAATGGTCGGTTTCAACAGTAGCACAGGAAACAAATTAGAAAAAACTCGTATGCCTGCTTACTAAACCACTCCTCTCAACCAGAATTTGATTTTACACAACGCGAATTGCTTTCTGCAAAATGCATAAGCAATATTTAAAGTTTCAAAGGAA